AAACTTTCCGTTTAGGAAAATAAAGAGGTGAAAGTAATCAATCTCGTAGCACAGAAAATGGAAGGCTCGATTGAAATCTTCATTAGTTCAAAAAGTTGAGGAAAAAAGCAAAGTGAAGAAGTACGATTTCCAGCAGAAAAGAGTGAGAGGAGAATCTAAGTTCTTATCATAATCACGAAGGTGCCCTGGTGGCATTGTGGCTTAAGCATTGGGCTTCGAATGGCAACATTTGAGCAGACTGCTCCTATAAAGATTTCCAGATTAGGGACCCCTGGAGAAGGTTCTCTTCTATCCCGTAGGGTTGTTATGAATCAGAATAAATTCAACAGCAATGGATGATCATAATCCTGTCTCGAACTAGTTTTGTCATATGAAGCAACTTAAATGTTTTCTAAAGCCCCTTAATACGCGAATTACATTGTCACAAATAAATAGTGAAGATTAAATATCCTTAAAAGTTCAAAAATATGACATTTTTCATATATTTCTCCAAGTCCAAGCTGAAAGAAGTGATGTAGTGAAAAAGAAATTGTTAATGCAATAATAAGGATTTTTTTAAATAATAGATTATTTCTTTGTAATTTTTGAACTTTTAAAAAGGGCAGAAAGCCTCCATAAGCAGTTTCTTAGAAACATAAAAATAAACAATGTAAACTTTATCTATCTCATATTTTGACTTAATTACAGAAAGAAGTTTCTTCACAATAACAAAACAATATTTTTATAGTCATTGATTTTCAGACAGTTACTCCAAATCCCTACCCTTTACCACTTCTTTATCACTTGATTATGAAAATTGGTTGAATGCCTTTCGCTAATTCTTTTCTTCCTTCTCACATCTCTCAAATTTGGCCCCTCTACCCCTAGGCAGCAGTTCTGCTTCCTAAGGCCAGCAGGAGAACAGACTTCCTCAAAGGGCATAATTGAAGGGGCTGGAGACCTATTTAGGCTGCAGGGGGTGTGAGAGATGAACCATGCGTAAAGACATTTCTCATTTAACAGAATAATGGCTTAAGCGCTTAGTTGGTGAGAAGTGATATAAAATTATGTAGCACATTCAAAAGAGTTTTATGGAGAGAATTGTACATTGAAGAAATACAGCATTTTGTATACTGCATAGAACTACATACCACAATGCATTAGTTATATACAACTATGATTTTATTTATTCTGTGTATGTCACTATAACTGCGGCTACCAATTATTGCAGAACTAGAGCATGATTTAATGTACAAAAAATATAAAGACATGTAAAACAGTTGCATATGTCAACTCAGGATAGGAGTGCTTTCTGAAGTGAAGAGCAGTAGGAAAAGACAGAAAATGTCAAAACTCTTGCCATTTCCAAAGCTGGATGGTAGGTGCATTATTATCCATTAAAATTCTTAGTGTCTTTTTCAATATTATAAAAAATGTACAAAAATATAGCTGATTGCCAATCATAAACATTTATAGCATTTATACAAGTGTAATGAATAATTTTAAAGAGGGCATTAGAGTTTATTATTGAAGTGATAATGCTTTCAAAACTTGTTGCACAATCCCTTCTAATTGATTTAGAACAGTGGTTTCCTAACCCTAACTAGGGTTCTCTATGAGTAGTTAGAAGTATCAAAAGAGTTCTTCTTTAATGAATGATTTCACTATTTTTGTTTTATTTGTTCTTTACCTACTTCAGATAATTAGGGCTTCTGAGTCCTATGTCAAGGTTAATCATGGGTCAATGAGTGCCTAACTCACGGCCATCATATTGATGATGACACTTCGTGATCCTATAGGACAGGGTAGAACTACCCCTCTGAGTTTCTGAGCCTGTTCACTCTTTCCAGGAGTTGAAAACTCCATCTTTCTCCTGTAGAATAGCTGGTGGTTTCGAACTGCTAACCTTGAAGTTAGCAGCCTAACATGTAACCACTACACCACCAGGGCTCCTTTTGGATCAATGAGTACCATATAAATAAGGAGAAATTGAACTCTTCTAAGTCACAATGTCAATGCATAGGAGGCATTCACTCCATCTCGCTGACATTCCGTCAGTAACTCTTAATGCTTCATGTGTAGTGGCACAAAACTACCTAAGGTGTGGATTATGAACTAGCAACTTGAGTTTTATTTGTTAGTTTGTTGGAAATACAGATTACTTGTCCTTCCAATCCTTTGGGCTTGTTCCATCCCTAGCCTTAAATAGTATCCTCACATACATGAGGTGATGAATGTTCTACTCAATACTCTAGAGTCTAAAGGAACACTTTTTTTTAGAGACTAAAGGGCCACTTTTCAAACCTTTAGTATTCCCTTTCTATGTAGCTTTCTCTCCTTCAACTCTAACTACCTTGGTTTCCGAAGGCTTTTAGCTTTCTCTCCTCTGTCAGGAAGCCTGCTCATGCTGCCGGGGTT